AGGTCTGATTGTAGCCTACTCCTTCCTTCTAACGTGCCCACATCCCCCCATTCACCCACCCACTTCAGAGCTGCAGGCTCAGCACAGGGGCCAGACCCCTCCTGACAGCTGTGTGAAGCCTCTCCCCCAGCTTTGCAGCACAGCCAGAGCATGAATGACTCCTGGCCAAGGAACAAACCCTGCAACTACAGGCACTTCCCTGGGGGTAGCTGGGAGGGAGCGGAGCCTGTCAAGAGAGGTGGGTGTGCCTGGCCATGCCTTCACATTCCCTGGAGCTGGGCTCCATCTCTCAGGCCTGCAGGACCTGGCTCTGTCCCAGCCAATTCCTTCAGTACCTGCCTGGCCCAGCCCCAGCCCCAGCCTCAGCGACGTACCAGGAAAGGCGAGGGTGCGCTGTGCTCCGAGATGTCAAAGTAGGTGACGTCGACGGGCAAGGTGGCGTGCTGGGGGCAGTATGAGCCGCTGGCCCCAATCTCCGCCGTGAACCCTTCGATGCGGCCCGACGGTGCAAAGCGTCCCTTCAGGATGGACTCCTGCAGGGTGTGGGGAAGCAGGCAGCCCTGAGCCCCTGAAGCCTGAGAGCTGCCCACTACGAAGCCGAGGCCACGGTGGAGACACCAACGCCAGAGGCTGCCAGCCCCAGATGGCTCTGATGCCCCTGCCAGGAGCCCTCTTGCCCTGCCCCATGCCCAGCCAGGGGCCTGGCAGGTGTCAGAGCCTACTGGTGCACTTACCTCGAAGTTGCCCAGCAGGGCCCGGCTGATGGAGGTGGCAGCCCAGGCGGTGGGGGAGGGCCGGGTACCCACAGGCCCCTTCCGGAGGCTGCTGCGGAGGTGTCTCCTGCTGAAGATGAGGCAGCGTCAGAGCCAGTCTCTTGCCAGCCGGCAGATACAGGGTCCCGGGGGAGTAGGCAGGGGGTCTCCTCTCCTCTCACCAGCCCCGCATCCCCTTCTCTCCTGCATGTAAGAGCCACCCACCCAGCTACCAAAGGGGTCCCTGTCTTGGGAGCCCCAGCAGCCCAGGTGCTGGGACCCCCTGCTTCCCCCTGCCCGGGGCTGAGCACCTGCCCCCAGTGCCCGCTGCCTGGCTCAGGGAGCTTGTGCAGGGGGAGGAGGCGGCTTGGGCCACTCACGATTTCAGACGCAGCCCGCTCTTCACCCGCCGCCCGACCGTAGTGCAATCTGCAGAGCTCTAGAGATGAGAGACCACGGGGATGCATTAGGGGCAGCGTGTGCCAGTGGGGGGGGGTATCTCCAGGACAGCCTGGCCTGTGCCCTCGCAGCCAGCTCCCACCCAGCCCTGCCTGACTGCTCCTGGCACAGGAAACCCTTTCCCCAGAGAAGAAAAGTACACGTGTGTACACGCATGCACACGCACTCTGCACCGACACAGGTTCACATATGCGTTCATGCATAGAGTGACACCTACACAGAGGCTTCCAGTCTGGATGCTCCCCAGCCCCACGGGGTCCATATTGAGCCCCGCTGATGCCCGCTGGACACAGGGCTATGGTGCTGTGCCCACCTGCCCCCATGGCTGCGGCCCCAGGGGCTGGTGAGGGGGCAGGACGAGGGCTGCCGGCCTCCCCTGCACAAAGGGCACTTGTCCTTTCAGGCCTTTTCCCCTTCTGGAAGCTACACAAAAGGGGCAGCACAAAGCAGAGCAGGGAGCAGCCGTGTGACAGGTGTGAAGCTTCTGGGTGGCCGACAATGGACTGGGGCAGGGGCAGGGGCAGGGGCCGGGGCCAGGGCTGTGGGGGCATCGTGCCAGGACGCACTGCAGCACGAAGAGGGAAGAGCCCTTGGAACGGGGCAGGTGCACCCCAACTTGGGTGCTGGGGAGCCCAAGCTGGCAGCGAGCAACCCCAGGGGAAGTGCAGTGCAGAGGAGCTCCACACCCCTCCCCTCCCCGCTGCCGCCCTGACACCAGGCAGCTAAAAAGCCCTGGGCGGGAGAAGGGTCTCCCCCACCTCCGATCACCGTCCCCTTCCGAGTCCCTCCCCCGCAGCCCACTCACCCTGGCCCCGGGCAGCAGGTGGTTCCAGAAAGGGGCACCCTTGGCATCGGTGCTGCGGCCGGAGGCCGGGACCGGCGGGCAGAGCGGCGCCCGCTTCTTCCGTGCCGGTGGGGACAGGGCCTCGTCCTCTGAGCATGAGTCGGCTGCGCCCTCGCCAGCCGGCAGCAGCTTCCGCTTGGCCGCGCAGCTGCCCCCGCCCAGCCGCCCGCCCGGCGTCTTCTCCGCCGAGCCCAGCCCGTTGTTCACGGGGCCTGGGGCTGCCGGAGGGGTGCCAGGCTCCTTGTGCCCGTTGGCCGCGGCCGGCGGCTCCCCTTCTGAGCCGGCCCCGTTGCTGCAAGCAGGGCTGCTCCCTGGCTCCTCTTTCTTGCCACTGCCGGTGTCCACCCAGGGCTTTTGTGCAATACGGTGCAGGTCAACGTCAAGTAGGGTTTGGCTGCTGGCTCTGTCTGCCCGCGGGGCCCCATTCTCCTCCACCGGCTGCTCCCTGGCCCCGGCTGGGCGCGGGGGCTCGCTGCTCCCCGCAGAGCCACTGTCCCTGGGGGCTGGGCAGCCATCTCTCATGTGCAAAGTGCTGCGAGTGATGTGCGGTGGCTGGGAGGCAGTGGCAGCCTCCCGCCGTCTGTCCTCTGGGCAGGCCCGGGAGCCACTCTCCCGGCACCCGCTGCGGCCAGAACCGCCTTCGCCCCTGTGCTCCACCACACGTAAGCCACTGTGGGAGAAGTGCTGTGCCGAGCCACAGAGCGACAGCTCCTCCACCAGCAGCCCATCCTCAAAGGCATCGTCCTCCAGCGCGTCCTGGCTGGGGCGCAGCTCACCAGGGACCCCGTCCTGCCTGCCCTCTGTCCCTGCGGCCCCCCATTGCGCCCGCTTGGGGTCCCGTGTGCTCTCCGGAGCCCGTGGCTCTGTGTACCCCCTCTTGACAGCTGCCCGCCCGCCGGCTGGCTCAGAGGCACTGGAGAGGTGTGAGAAGATGGAGACCTGGTAGACCTTCTGGCGCTTAATCTCCGTCTCATTGTAGCCCACCAGGAGGCCGCGGCGCGGGCAACGCTCGGGGGCTGGCTCCAAGCCCGCTTCGCCACCCGCCCGCGACAGCCCTGCGTCCTGGCTGCGCTCTGGGGGAAGGGGCGTCTCCGCGTGGATGTGCCGCATGGAGCCTCACTGGGCCGGGCGCCGCACTGCGCCGGACACAGGAAAGCCCATAAAGTAGCAGGGAAGGGGTGGTAAAGTGCCACGAGGTCACGGGGGCCTCAGACCACCCCCGGCTCAGCAAGTCCGGATGGGGCTTTGGCTACGGAGCACACTGCAACACCGCATCTATTGAGGGAGAGAGAGGGGAGTTAGCTCCTGAGATCCCAGGTCATCTGCTTCAGGCTGTTACTGGGGAACCGAGCAGGATGCAGCCCCCTGGCCCTGGTGCCAGCCAGCCCCCAGCCCCCTCTCCCTGGGCAGGCGGGCTGCAGGACAGAGTGCTCTGCCAAGCTGGGAGAAGCTGGGCCGGCCTAGATGCAAGGAGACATCCACCCGGGGAAGGGGAACGCAGAGGGAGAAGGGCAGGGTGCAGGGATCCCACCTGCAGGGTCCGTGTTGCATCCTCGGCCAGAGCCCTGAGAGCCAGGAAGAGGTGCGGAGCACCCTGCAAAGCTGAGGCCACAGGCGACGAGCCCAAACATGCAGGGGGAAGGGACCAGGTCTCCAAGAGGGAAATGCAAACAGGACGTGCCCAGGCTGGCCCCGGGAGAAGGTGGGCGAGACTGCCCCAGGGGCTTAGGGATGCCCTTTCCCAGGGCAGGCGGGCACATTCCCCAGGTAGCAAGACCCTGGGAGCTAGTGAAAGCAAGTGCGCTGGGAGGATCCAGGCCATCAAATCCAACCACAGGCTGCAGAATGAGTGTGGACGGACAGACAGCCACCCGGTCTTCTCCGTCACTGCCACCCCAGCCTCAGCCCCTGGCTCTCCGCAGCCTTGGGGTTTCCTGGCCCAGTGCATTTTCCACAGCTCTGCCCAGCCCCGCATGAGCTGTCTCCAGCAGCGCGTCACCTCCGCCCTGCCCTGGAAGGGTTGCACAGCCAGCCTGCTTGTGCTACGTGGCTGAACCCGCCCTGCCCTTATCATCAGCTTGTTCCAGCCTAGATACCTGGGTGCCTGTCCCGCAGCCCCGTCCTGGCAGCCATGCCCTGGCCTCCCCATGGGGGTAGAGTGGCTCTCTCCTGGCCCCATCCCTACCCCCTGAATGGACCATTTTAGCCACCTCTTCCTGCAGGGAGGTGTCTGGGATGGATCAGAACGAGCCGTTCCACGTCACCCCAGAGGAAAAGCCCCCTGCTCCGCTCAGCAGGGAGCTCTGGGTCCCTGACGCCATGCCAGCCTCTGCCCCAGGCTGCCCTGCCAACCCAAGGAAGGAGGAGCACAGCGATGCAGCCACATAGAAATGATGATGACCACACATGACCTAGGAAGAGGCCTGTGCGCGGCTCACATCTCCCCTGCAGGCAGGTGGGAAGTATGCACGGAGCTGCCGGGAAGCAAGGGCTGAGTGGGGAGAATTTGGATGCTGGGCTGGGCATTGGGAAAAGCCCAGCTCTGCTCCTGCCCCTCTTCTGCCAGGAGCTGGTGAGGTGGGCAGGCAGCTTGCGGTTTGAGCCCAGAGCCCTGACAGCATGCAGGAAAATGCCAGGAAAGTGGCTTGGAGTTAGCAGAGAAGCTGAAGCAGCGGTGATGGGAATTGGCCCAGCCAGCCTGCATGGGGAAGGGAGGCTGAGATGGCCACTACGCCACACTTCTCCACCTGTGCCGTAACAGGATGCCCAACAGCTTTGTGCTGGGGGACCTGGTGCACGGCACTGCAGGCAGCCGAGCAGGAGATCCCTGGTGCTTGTGAGAGGCGCTGGGGTCCCAGCACTGCATCTCTGGCTGGGAGAAGGCCTGGAAACCCGAGCCCCGAGGGGAAAGGAGGCAGCTTCTGCTGCATATGGAGAAAACCCACCAGGCAGCCTCGGAAGGGCAGAGCCCTGGGAAGAGCCCAGCTCTGGCACTCCTGACTCCTGCCTGATAGCGGTGGGTTTCTCAGCAGGTCTCAGGGGGCTGCAGGGCTCCGTCTACAGGCAAGCTCCTGCTAGGGTGAGACCAGAGGGGCAGAGTCATGGCAAATCAGCAGTCACGGCTTCTGGCTCTTGTCCCTCTGCCCTGTCCCTTGCCTGGGGCAGGCCCTGACACTTTGTCTGTAGTGTGCAATGAAAGGTACAAGCAAGCGCCTGAAGAGAGGGCAGCACCAGCTCCCAAGCCTCTGCTCCCGGGGATGGAGGGCTGGGTACTCACCACTCTGCAGCCAACCCCCTCGCCGAGCCAGGTAGCCCTGGTGGCTTCGCAGCGCACGGTCGTTGGCACAGCTCGCCGGAGACACCTGCCACCCCGGCACCCCCCAGAAGCGGCGTGGCTGTCGGGGAATGGCTCCCACCATCCCGGGGTTTGCGGTCAGGCTCCTCAAGGCTGTCGCTGGCTGTCTGGCCTGCTCTGCGTGCTTGTGGGGAGGAGAGGAAGGGAGCTGAAACAGGGATGATGGTGCTCTGCACCCAGCGGTGCTACGAGAGGAGCAGGAGACACAATCCCCGGCTGAACCAGAAGCCGCTGGATGATGTCAACACCCAGACCCATGGGCAGCCCCCAGCCGTGCTCACCGGTAATGGCAGCCTTGACCCCTGGAGGCGATATCCTCCCCCCAAGGCTTCAGCTGGGATTCATGGCCACTTCCTTCCTTAAGCTTAATCCTGGAGCCTGAGCTAGCCAGCTCCCTCCCCGCACCCGCCCCACAGCCCCTGAGGGCTGCAGAAGAGGAGACCCCAGGCTGGAGGGACCCAGGAGGCAGGGGACCAGGATGGGAGGATTGCCAGCAGCCCCACCAGAGTCTCCTTGTCCCCAGGGAGGGGGGCCAGGCTGGAGACCTGCCACAAAGCACTTCTTGGCTGGCACGCCACACCCCCAGGACAGAGCCTCAAGGGTCAGGGGACTCCCTGTCACAAGAGATCCTGTTGCCAACACCGAGGCAGGCAGACACAAGGAGCCTCTCGGTGCAGAGGCCCAGCAGCCCCACGCTATGACAGATCCCTCCCGGCTCCAGCCGGGGCCAAGACAAAAGCCCTTTGTGAGCGCTCACCTGCTCACGGGCGCCCTTCACGTGCCGGCGCCACCCGCAGCATCCCCCCAGCGACAGCTCATGCGATCATGATCCCACTGGCCTGTCAGACGTGGCACCTGTGGAGAAGGACAGCAGAGTCAGGCCCATCCAGCAGCTCCTTGCTAGACAGGGGATGAACAGAGCACTACCACTACCCACACCCCAAGGATGCCCTAGGGTCCAGCTGGCAAACCTGAACCGCCCTTGCCAGGCTGGTGTCCTGACGTCACCTTCCACCCTTGCCGGTAGGCCGAGGGGCAGGGAGGGGAGTTATCCTACAAATCGCAACTCGCACGCGAGGCCCAGCCAGCCTGGCGCACGTACACACCTGCCTCTAGCCAGCTCCCCTGGGGGCCCTGGCACGCACGATTTCAGGTGAGATGGGTGCACCCGCATGGTGCCCTGCCCAGCTGGCAGGCAGGCGAGGAGTGAGAGCTGCACCCCGGCCCTTGCTGGAGATGGTCTGGCTCCGACCCCTGCTCCGCACAGCCCCCGGCAGCCATGAGAACCGGCCTCCCACCTGCTGCAGGGCCAGGGGCTGGACTGGGCCAGGCCACTGCAATGGTGTGAGCCTGGGTGAAGGCGGCACATTATGGTTGCAACAGGGACAGCCTACTTGTGAGCGCCGGCTTCTGTGGGCAGCATCCTGGGGCTGTCAGGCCTCTGCAGGATGCATCTGGAGGGCAACACCAGCCCCCACACGCTGCCCAGGGGCATCCAGCTGCCCCAGGGGCCTGTCCGTTCCCAGCAGCGGCTCTCACGTGGCACCAGCAGAGCTGTGGCTCTTCCTCCTGCCGAAGCCACGCAAGGGGCTGGTCCCTCGCAAGCTCAACCTGCCTGGAGGGGCACCGACAAAACCCCGGTGCTGGGCATGACCAGGGAGGCTCACCTGCCTGGCACAGGGGTTCCCCGGGGGCTCAAGCAGAGGAGGGATAAGCCTTGCCGTGGGCTCCGGGGCGCAGGCACGGTGCTGCTGGACCCAGCTCCCGGCACCCTGCAACGTGACTCCTGCCCCCTCCGGCTGTCCCGGGGGGCTGGGGTTTGGCTCCCGGGCTTTCCTTTTTCCAGCAAGGATTCTCCCCCTAGCGACCCTGCCGTGGCACTTGGCTTTTTACGGCACCCGGCTCCTCCCCGCGGCAGCCTGTAACCCTTATATAGCGAGCGCGGCGGGGCTGGACACGGGCTCCGGGGGCTCCCACACTCCAGCTGCCCTGACAAGCAAGCAGGGGCTGGGAGATGGCGGCCAGGACTCCCCTCCCCTCCCCTCCCCTCCCCTCTCCCGAGACAGGTCTGCTCCGAGACCCGAACCCGGACAGATGCCAGCCTGCCCCCAGCACCTGGACGGACACCAGCCCACCCCCACCGCCACGGGGAAGAGCGGGCAGGCAGCGCCCCGCCGGCTGGCTCTCCTGCAGCCCCCAGCGGTCCAGGGCTGGGAGCGAAGCCATGTCAGCCCCAGCTCGCAGGGGTCACAATGTCATGGGGGGCTGAGTCCAGGCTGTTGCCCAGACTAGGGACAGGACTCCTTTGAGTAGGGGTTGAGGGGAGAAGACGATTCACTGGTCTACCGCTATGGGGACGGTGGTGGGGCCGGACCAGATGTCCTGCGAGGACGTTTGCGACCCTACGGCTCTAAACAGGGCCAGAAGTGTGGGCGAGACGGGGAGTGAGAGCCCGTGGGTAGCTGGTGTCAAGGGCAGCAGCCTCGAGGGGCTGGCAAGCCCCAGGACAGGCAAGCTTGAGAAATCCAGACCCAGGCTCACCTGGTTTCTCCTCCTGGCACAAGACGCTGAGCACGGGGGCGAGCAGGGCCCAGGGGACCTCAGCCGCGCATGCAACACAGGAGCCAGGAGGCCAGCCCGAGATAACCCGTGGCATGGGAACGGGAGGGTCCGACACCCAGCGTACGAGGTCCTGCGACTCCACAGCTACTGGAGGCGGCAACCAGCACCGGAGGTCAGAGCACCCCAAGTGCCCGGGCTCCCAGCGTCTAGCTCCTGGCTCGGCCGCTGAGGCCGCGTGCAAACCCCCTCCTGCAAAGCCCACCCGCGGCAGGGAGGGCTTCAGATCCGAGCTTGGAGCGGGCACTTTGGACATGTTATGCTGCAATGCGGGGGGGAACCGCTTTTTCCTTCCAGCCAAAAACACCCCGTGCCCCCCCGCTGGTGTCCTCCCCCTTCCCCCACCACATACACCTGCT